AGCACAAGACACGCCGTACAAAACACCAAAGATAAAATACAACACGATTTACATAGAATGAAAAAAATAAACAAAATAGCAATAACACAAAAATTGCAATAAAGTTAGGTATAGAATAAAATAAAACAGTAGGTACCAAACAAATAAAACAAGGCGGCAGTATACCGATACCAATTTATTAAAAAATAATAAAAAATAAATTTTCTAATTTTAATTTACATTTATTTCTGATAATGATAATTATGTGTTGTCTATTTATGTTTTTAAAAAGTGGGTGGGCACTAATGCTGTTGGTCGCATTGAGGTTTCCGAGTCCTACGCTTCCAGTCTGAAAATAACAATAATATAAATAAGATTTGAAGGTAGCAAAGTTATTTACCTCTGAATCAAATCAGCATTTTTCTCGGCTATTAATGCCCCTGACGTAACTCTTTTTACGTATGCAAAATAGAAATAAATACATTATACATATATTAATTAATTTTTATATGCCAAACGAGTCGAACGAAAGAGATGCAGCGTTAACGGCTGGTGTATACAGCCAGTGTCAGGTGAAAAAACAATATAATTTCTTACGTTAAAAATTACCTAAGTATTTCAAATCCCTAACGGTAACGAAAGGCAATGTTGATGATAGCGACATCTGTAGTATTAATTAAATTAGAGACTTTATCATTTTAACCAGTAGTGTAGATATCAGTATAAATTTTGTATTAATTCATTTTTTAATAATTCCGTGTAAATTCTTCATTACAACCAAGAGAAGTTAAATCGTAATCGTCTACCTCACGTAGCTGCACAAGTTCAACTCACATTCTCATACCCCCACCTCATACCTACACCCCGCACTTTGACATGGTCTGTATCGTTGATCGAGCAGCCAGCAATTTTGTCTAAAGTTCAACATTAGCTTGGCACTGTATTACAACAGGACAGTAAACTTTGCACTATCCGGCACTAACATTCACCACGCACTTTCGAATTGGAGTTAAAAAGAGCACAATTGGCTAACGAGACGAAATTATGCACTAGCACTTTTGGAAACAAAATTATCTCATTACATGCTCATTTTTTGGATCATTGTTTTCTTGCACCTTCCTTGTAAATATTATCAAATTCTTATTACATCTGGTCTATGTATTACAGAGAAAGTTATCTTCCTTTCTTTGAATCTCAAACGGACTTGGGAAACCCACCCACACCATTATGTCCATGTATTTCTACATTCCATTACACTGTGTTTGTCTCTTGTTTTTTTTAATAAAATATTTTATTTTTTCCTTAATACTTTAAAGCTAAAAAAATACTAATAATCGTTAATTAGCCCGCCCCTGCTTTGCACGGGTGTTTGACTTCCTCGCTAACGGCGGAAGAAAAAAATTTCAAAATTTTCCTGTCTTTTAAAAAAAAGTTAATAAGAAAAGAAACATTTTCTGACAATAACAAACACAACAAAAAAACACCAACACATTCCACATTGATTATCTTTAATGTGTATACCTTTTGCAAAAAAACGGGCACTTAAGGAAATTTACGTTCTAAGGTCGATTTGAGTTAATTAAATGAATTGCATTTATTTGACGTATGTAGTCTGTATATTAATAATCGTGTAACTTAATACACGTAAAGTGAATTCGGGGAATTCAAATAAAAAATAAAACGATGAATTCTTAAAAAACCGATGTACCTACACGTCCAAACTGTAAGCGGTGTTGGGCAATAAAGACAATTCTTAGTATTTTTAATTACTTAAATACAGTTACAAATGTATAAATCAAATAACGAGTCTGACCTCCTCTTGCCAAAATCCTAGCTTGAATCCTTCTGGGCATGCTTTCCACGATGTTTTAATAACATTTCGAAAAATACGTTCCCAATCTTCTGCAATGACTATTTTTAGCTCCCTGATGTTTTGTGAAGCAGGTAACACTGATAATATATGTATACCGTTTCTTTAGAACATCCCAGACGTTGACAGGATTGAGTGCAGGATTTCGAGTAGGCCAATCTAAACGACGGATCCCAACTTCTCGTATGTATACGCTTCCATGTCGCCAGAACATTGTCGACCATAAAAATAGAATCTTCCCCAAGTGCAGTCAATGTGGGTTGTGCAGGGCTTCCATTATTTACCGGTGCATTTAATATTCCATTATCTATGAAAACTAACTCCGTGCGTATCGCATATGCATAACGCCTCCGCCATAAAGAGTGATTTCTTCGAAATAACACACTTCCGTATAGCGTTCCTGTGGTCTTCGCTACACTCGCCGGCGTCGGTCCTCTTCACACAAAGAGATTCTAGCTTCATCAGAAAACAATACTTTATTCCAGTCCTCCAAAGTCCATGAAGCACAGTTTCGACAAATTGAAGTCGAACAACACGGTGCTCGCGGAGTAGTTTAACTCTTGGGCGTTAACTACTGAGCTAGGCGACAACTCCTGATATTGGCAGCCAAAAGCCTCCTCCTGACCGTCCACAAATTAATTTCAACAGTACCGCCAACGTATCTTGGCGAGTCTGAAGTTAGCCGATTAGCTCCGCAGTACACAATTATGTTCCAAAAATATCCATTGCGCAGACAAACGGCTAACTTCAGACTCGCCAGGATACGTCGGCCGTACTGTACTCCTCTTACTTCTTCAAGGCTCACTTACGACTCACAAAAAAGCGGTCATCTCTTAGGTCTTCTTTTGACCGAACCGGTCTCTTGAAACTGTTGTTTAACTTGTTGCCATGTCCTCTAGACAGTTGAAGTTTGCGAACAACCTTCTTCTAGTAGGGCTATACCTTTACCGGCCTTATCTCTTTATCACTAATATCAAAAAGTATTTAATGTAAAAAGAAAGATAAAATTGTTGTATAATTTGCAGAAAATATCCAAAAAGTTTTATAATAACGTTATCAGTTAAAAATAGCTTCAGAAATTCGCGCCATTAGTTAAGCAATTTTAAAATAATGCACAATAATAATTATTTTTCTTTTATTAATTTCAAGTTTTAGATTTTGAACGTAAATAAATCATACCAGGAATAAATAACCTTCTAATATATCGTCAAATTAATAAAATAAAACCTATTTCTTGTTCTTCTTCATTTAAAACAAGAATTTTCATATTTTTCCGAAATTGAAAACTGTAATAAAATTAAAAGTAAATGTCGCCATAATATTGTGAGTTAATTGAGACATTTTTAACTTTTCTGTCATTCTACTGATACTTTTTTGGGAAGTATTCTAGGAATAATTTCCATTCTAAGTACGGTCTGGGGTCAAAAGTGCAATTTCACTCTACCAATGCGAAAATGTGTAAAACTTTTATGTAATACAAGTTCAAGAATCTAAAAATCTATTATCTAATAATATCTTTAGAATCTGCACATTAATCAGTCAAGGAACCTCTGAACCTCAACTATAAAATAATTTTTAGACTCTGCATTTTTGACCCTCACTCAGTCCTTTTCCCATGACATCCCATCAGGCGTAACCCCTTCAGCCAATCACGAACTTCTTCCGTATTGTTCCTTTTATATCCTTAATTTCTGAGAGTGTCCTCCTCTTTTCTACTGATTTTCAATCCTGTTCAATTATAATCTATCATTGACGTTACTTGTACTTGTTCTTCTGTTGACCTTTTTTCCATGTTCTTCATACTCTTCATTCATTCACAATCACGCGATCCATTCACTGTTTCTCTGTTCTTTTACGTTCATCTCACCCATTCTTACGTTTAGAAAAATCCATCAAATGAAATTCAAAATCAATAACGAATATACAATGAAAATTTTTATGTTGTATTATGATTGGTGCGGTCTGAAAGAGGAGGAGCTAGAGATGAAGCATGATCAAATTCAAACAAGATAGTATGCAAGTGTATTGCATTGGAGGAATGTATGAGGAGACAGTTCAAATGGAGCGAAAGAGTATGTAAGCAACTTCTTGTGGGTGGATGGTAAAGCGAGATTAAGAAGATGATTAGTTAAGTAAGATAGGAATGCAAGGGTTTACAAACAGTGGAAAGGATATTTTGAAAGGTAAGGTTAAGGTGTAAAAGAGATGTCAGATTGTGAAGAATGATTATTCAGAATATGTTTGAAGTTTTGTTATGTTCGGCCCACACTAACGGGAAATGTCAACAATTATCGCGATAATTGATGATATTAAATATGTAACATAAACCTACAATCATTTGTTTAGTGATCAAATTACAACTACGATTAACGTCCATTAATCGTAGTTTCCCGTTAGTGTGGGCTATGCATTAGCCAAGCAAAATTGATATTTAAAATAATGAAAGAATGATAAAAGACGTGTAACAGATGAGCATGAAAGAAGTGTTAAGGTATTTGTAAGATTATTTGAAGTTGAGTGAATGGGTGAAAGAAGAATTCTGATAGAAGTTAGTGGTAATTCTCATTGAAGTATATAGTTATGAAGTTTTCAATTTTTTTTTCAAATTTTAAGCTATCCAGGTTAGGACTAATCATAGTCATCGCATGTGTCTGATAAGATGGAAGAACGTAGTTTCTGTTTCACTGACAGGGGTACATGGTCTGACTTCTTGTATAATTTTCAGCATACAAACTTCTCCATGCTAGGCTGGCACTATTTCGCTAGTTCAGATTTGGCTTCTTATAGTACTGCGGGTAGATTTTCGTTTTATCATAACCGATGCATTCTCGTCTCTGGACCAACAAAACTGGGCAATACATTTAGACTCACTCACGGCCACGCTCGCTTGTCCTTCTCTAGCGGGGTACAGTTGTATAGTATATCCACATACCGCCATTTTTATTAGTCTCCTGTAATATGGGGCATGGTTACCGCCATGCTTCATAAACCCAGTCTCTTGGTACTATAGAGAATTTGGAAATAGAAAAACTCAGAATGCCTTGTCCGAACTGGGGATGGGGCGAGGTCGCGTACTGTGCAGTCGCGTTAGGGGCCACTGGACCACTAGCCACAGAACCAACAAGGTTCAGCAGATGGGATCACTGAAAGTTCAGTTTGACATCCAATTTTCCAACTCTTTCCCGCGTTCTGTTGAGTCTTGTGGCAGTTCTGTAGCTGTGAGCTGGTGTAACCGAAGAGTTACATTAGCAACTAGCCGGTGTGAATGTTCAATACATATTGAGCAACCCGGAATTACTTGAACTTCTGCTTCATCAACGGCTCGAATTTCCTCAGAACGTTCGCTACTCTGCTGGTTGATTTCAGAGAGTTCTGTAAAGCTAATCATTATCTCTGAAATTTCGTTGACCAACTGCAAAGTCCTTGCGCTGAGAGTAAGTTATCCAGAGTGAAATTTGGTTTCAGTGCCTTTCAATTGAATTTATGCGCAAAATAAACTGGACCGTAACGATTTTGAGATTCACATCCGAGTGAATGATTCCACAGCCGATGTTCACGACTGGTAGGTAAATAAAAAATGTAAGTGACTAAGTATAGGAAATAATATGAGAAGTTATTAGCGTCACTTTTTTGTTGTTGAGGCTGCCATACATGTTCCTACCGCAGATGTGAACCTACGCGTATGATACGATACGATACGATGAATTTTCTATCGCGTCAGGTATCAAAATGTAACAAAGATTAAAATAATATTCAATCGATTGTTTCGTCTTTAACAAAAAGTAAACATTTTGAAATATTTCTCAATGAATGTAGTATTTTTTTTAAATGATGTGCTAAACGAACAGTGCATTGTACATTATTACGAACTTAAGGCCGATTTTAATAACCTATCTGTCAGTAGATTGCAAATTAGATTTAGGTAGCCTTTTTTCGTTAAGCGTCATACACATGGGAAAGACACAACACACATACAACTGGCGTGAAACAACGGTTTAGATTCACCGAGGACTTGGCTATCGGAGGTATTTCATCTTTCTCAATCTTATGCCCAGAAATACCGGCAACGCACTTGTAACTCTTTTAGCGTTGCAGATGTCTCCCATCAATCAGCACGTCAGCAAGTCTTCTTGACCACCATAAAAATTGCCAACATTATTTCTTGTAGTTAGCAAGGATACCGACCGAAAGACTATTAAAATCGGTTTTTAATTTAACAGATTAATTTTATGCAGAATCAGTGTTTATCTAACCTAAAACTAAAAAGAGCTACATTTACCTGTACTCTTACTTTTCACTACTTCATGCTTTTTCCCAAAAATGTATGTACATTTATATCGATAAATATATTTACAATGATTTGACGATAACCGTTAAAAGTATTATAATTGTTCTTGCCCTATCTCTGATGAAATTTTATTTTGTATTGACATGAGGAATGTGATACAGTTTGGTCTAATACCTACGTCTGTTAAGAACAGTCACTCACTATTCCTAGAAGAAATGTGACCGAAACGTAGTTGTAAAAGGCTCGAATGTGACTGTGATATAAAAATGGCAACATGTCAATATAGAATATGATAATGTTGTGTGTTACTTAAATTCCCGCTTTGACAAAGCGAGTATATTAATTATAATGCGAATGTTTAATGTGAAACCATTTAAATTGGTAGAAATATAAGCTTGTTTACATTGTGAATTTTTTCATGTTTCCTTAACTCATATTTATGGAGAAAAAAATGTTTTCGGATACATTAAGAAAGCAGTTTGTCATCAAGAATGTCTTGAAATCAATGACCATCCGAGTACAGCGTTGAATTCTATAGAAAGTGCCCGCTCACCTAGAATCACATTATGGTTCGCAGCGAAAGTTAACGGAAACATCTACAGAATCTGTTTCAGAATCCCTAAGGTCATGTAAAAATTCACAATACAAATGTATATGTTAATTGTTGGCTTCGAATTCATGTTTATTATTTGCAACGTGTACAACTCTTATAAGTAAGAAAGGGTTTCGGAGAATTAACTTGATCCAGGTAGGACACAACAGCAGAGCCCAGTGGTCTGCGGAAAGAGCTCTGTCCTCTTAACACCTTTGAATACGTACCCTGGTACACTCTAGTATACGCCTGGTGTCAGGGTTACCTACATCCAGCAGTACAGGTTAAGCTAATCGACGGTGTTCATTATATTGTACCAGATGTTTTCGAAACTCTTATCTATTAGTAAAATTAATAAACTTAAGATTGATTAAAGGCTGCGGAATACAGGGCAGGCTTTGACAAGTCGGCCATAAAAATAATACCAGTCTAGTGATCCACTCACACAATAGAGTGATGTAGCCAAATCGAATCGGTCATTTACGAGAAGAAAGAAATAGTGTTGCTATAAAAGAATTTTTGGAGTAAAAAACACAGAGATGTTTTGATGTTAAGCGATAAATAAAAATACCTAATTACTTAAATTCAAGTTGGTCCAATCATATTTTTCAATCACAGCAAATTTATGGCCACTCGTCAGAGCCTAAAAAGAGTAGTAAGGCTGAATAAATTATGTTTTTATAAGCCTAATTGAAAGAAAGCAGTTACCGTAGCCTATGGACGTTTGTAATCCTACCATAGGACCGCTTGCGCGTTGCAGAACCAGTTATAAAATGTTATCAATACTTGATGGGGCTAGTTATCGTACTGAGGGCAAAAGGTACCCCTGTACAAGATGTGGTGCAAGCCTGTCACCTACATACCTAATGCGTGTTCAAATGCCAGCCCCTGTTCATTCTGAAAATTTCTAAATGTCGTGCAATGTATGAGAGATGGTGACTTCGTCTGAATGTAATGATTTCCACTGATCAACATAAGAAAAGTTTGAGTTTACAACGAATAATAAGGAAGAAAATAAGTACCATATTTGATGCACTCCTATCATGCAATTTCATATAAACTTTACAATATTTAGGTATGAAGAAAAAACCTATAAGTAGTTTGAAATTTCAAAAGTATAAAGACGAGTTGTCATCATCCTTATCACATAATTGTATTGTATTGCTTCGCTGCACTCAAGTGCACAACAAACGCTTCAAGCTAATAGATATTAAAACTAAGTATTTTTGATGTTTTATCGTTCGTGTACACGAGCCCTTGTGGTCTATTTAATCTGTAAGGTCGTGAGATGGTATGGGACAATATTGTAGGACAATAGGGATCGACTAAAGTTTAATTGTAATTCTTGGTCGATCCTTTCAGGAAGTAGAAAATAAACACAAGACTGACATTCAATGATTTAGTAGTCAACTACTAAAATTGATCCCTTCCTACAGTCTCTTCTGGAAAGATTCGATATACCTAGTTGTATGTAATGTAATTCATACAAGGAGTAAAAGGCGATTTTTGGGACGTAGATTTAAAACATCAGAGATGTGATAATTAGAGACTGACTCTGTTTTATTTTAAGGGTTTTTTAACAATCATTTCGTCCCCCAAAGTATTATATTTTATACAAAATTTTTCTAGTATCTTGGAGTATCAATATTTATTTTTGTTGACCTATTCTATTTATGACGAGCTACGCAGCCAACTGCGATTTATTTTTCTCGCAATTGCGAAATTTCTAGTCAGTGTGGAACATCATGTGGTAAAAGGTACATTACATATTCTCGCAACAGCGAAATTTCAACACAATACATTTCTGGCAAGTATGTATTTGAAGATGTGTACGGAATCTCTGATTATAAAATTAAAATAAATGTTCGATGTGTAACTACGTTGTTTTATTTCATACTAGCACCTAGAATATCTACCTTCAAAAAATCCTTTTATGTATGTAACTGACTTTCCTGCTTCAAAAGATTTTTTTATGGAATAGTATGCAAACGAGCAGATCGATCACCTGAGGGATCGCCGCCATGATACACACTTGCAACACCAGAGAAGTCACAGGCACGTTGCTGCCTTTTATGAAGGAGTAGGTACCTGTCTACTGACGCTCGTTTCTTGTACTAATATATAATCTTTATTGTGTTCCACATAAAAGTAATACGTATTCCACTAAAAAGACCTATATATTTTCTTCACGTTTAATAAGAGAATTTCGAAAATCAAGGTCCAACAATTTCTTTAGATTACCTGAACTAGGTGTTGAGTTTAAGATTTTGGTGTTGACTAGGAAATGAAAATTTTAGTACCCAGTCACAACTGATGCTACAAGACCCGTGATGCAGTCAGTCAACGAGAGAGATTAAGTTATCCAGAAAAGGTTGGTAGGTACGGCACAGCTTGCTTCGTGCTCGACTTGGCGGGTTCACTACCTACAACGAACGCCGGAGAACGTTCGACGTAAATATCGTTATCTAAAGACTTATAAACGAACCTAACACCTAAGCAACGCCGGCGCGTAGCGTTCCGCGCGCGCCTCAAAGAGCCAATACACCACAGACGGGGCCCTATAGAGCTGATGTTCAGCCGGGGTGGCGGGGTAAGCGCAATGAGGCACCGCAACTTCGGCCCAGAGCAGGAGAAGGAACAGGGGGGTTTTTAGTCAGTAAGAGTCTGACACTCCCTCCCGCCCGGCCCGGGGCGGCAGAAGTCATTTGATGATTTTCCCCTCACAAAAAAAACACCTAAGCAACGCGTCGCGGGTTGGATTCCCGCACAAACAACACTTTGTGAGATTTACAAATTGTTATTTCGGGTCTGAGTGGTTTCTGTCGTGAATTTGTAGCTATTTTTGTAAATGCAACCCACGACGCAGGAAAAAACCAAAAGAAGGGAAAAAGTTCTAAAAATATGTAGTTTACGAATGTTTGTGTAAAATTTACTGAACTTATTTTTCGACGCCTTTGTCAGTGGAAGGACTGATTCTTAAGGAAGGTATTAGTGTTCAATTAGTGTGTCTGCTGCGGCAAAAGCTGCAGTCGGAACATTATAGTTCATCTAATTACTAATTACCAGTAATTATTCTTCTGGCAGGGTATTAAAGTTGCCAAATACCGCACTAATCAGACATGTGGTTTACTCTGTAAGAGAAAAATGGTCTGAGCCTCCCTCTCGCACCACCCAGAGAATTTCAAAATCTATAAAGTTGATAGCAGTTTCATCGATTTACTTGTTACTGGCGACGTCCATTATAATTAGATATATAAATATAGGGCATTTAATTTGGGGTGGTAATACTGGAATAGTCTGTTTATTTGTTGAAAGCTGAAAGTAAGCATTTTGCTAGATGGGTAGACTGTACAGTATTATGAGCCAAATGGCATTTAAGCACCGATCAGCCCGCCACATCCTCCCAAAACCGCTGCAACTTCTTTAAGCCAGGACCTACAGTAGAACCATGCAACGAAGGATGAAACCACCGAAACAGTAATCGCCAGCTGGTCCCAGACACATGAAC